CCTCAACCATAAAATTATTTTCATTGCTACTTCATAACTGTAATTTTGCTATTGTTATGAAGCATAACGTAAATATCTGTGTTATCCAATGGCCTGTGAAATGAAATTCAAATGACCCTGTGAAAGGGTCGTTGGACTCCAGGGTCGAGACCCACAGAAGAGAAGCATTGGATCCGATCTACTGCTGTTGATTACTAAACAACGGAGTGTATATGTACCTAATGCATTCGCAACCGAATGACTTTTACAAAATCAAAAGCACATTTTTCTAGTCTCAAGCTTACACACAGAGCAGGTAGGGAAACATAAAAAGAAAATTAGAAGGCCAAATGAAGAATTGCCTGGTAAGGATGCTCAACTCAGGCAGTAGTCAAGAAGGCAAGGCTCTTGAAAACCCAAGACCCATTTGAGGGGAAAAAATTCCTTTCACCTTCCAATTCCCAAAGTTAGCTGTCCTGTTTTGACCTTCAGTTGTTTGTGTGCTTATGAACTATCTCCGAAGTAGATGCAAACTCCCTTGATGCTGAGACCAGATTTATCTGTCTCAGTGCTACACTGAGACTTGTGCCTTAAAGAAATGCTACCGATGCCCGTCAATGTACCAAATAGAAGGGACAAAGTCAAAAAGAAAAACACGCTTGTAAGCAAACCATGGGTGGGGAAAGGAAAGGGGCGGCTTAGGCAATGCACATGTCTGAGGGACAGAGAAGCAGCCTCGCAGAAAAACCAACTATCTTCCTTTCGGAGGGACAAGCTCTCCACCCCAGTGTGAGCGCCGGGCAGGGGGTGAGGGAATGGAAGCTGACCCCGAAAAACAAAGGCCCTTTCTCGGGACTCGGGGCTCACCAGCCCGGGCCCGCCTCCCTTCACCCATGCTCACCGACTTGGTGAGGAACCTGTTCAGCTCGCCGCGGCTCTTCTCGTTCTTGTTGGCGATTAGCCTCAGCGGCCCGGCCACCAGCTCTACGGAGAGGTGCTCCATGGTCTCCGGCCGCGACCACGGGGCCGCGGGGTCGCCGCCGAATAGGTACCAAGGCAAGGAAAGCCACTTAAAGCCGGCTAGCGGACGCACACGTGGTGAAGGACTCCACAAACGTCATCAACCAGCGGCGGCCACTGCGGCGGCGCTACTACTGCTACGCCCACCTCGGCGGAAGTGCGTCACTGCCGCGCCACGGCTAGTAGGAAGGGAGGCGGAAGTGGCTTTTAGGCTGGCAGGATAACTGATAGACGTGACTTTTTTTCAGTGCCTGACCCGACAGAAACCGATTTTCCCAAGGGAGGAGCTTCAGGGGCGTGAGACCTAAGCGCACGGTGATTAACTCTGTATCAGCACAGATCAGATGTGAACGATAAGCAGATTCGTTGTACAAGATTGTCGCCCGCAGAAAAGTGCATTATTGTGAGAGAACAGCCCGTGACGCAGTCCTTTTTGGTTGTTTTTTATTTTTCGAGACAGGGTTTCTCTGTGTCCTGGAACTCGCTCTGTAGGTCAGGCTGGCCTCGAACCCACAGAAATCTGCCAGTCTCCTTCTTCCTAAATGCTGGAATTAAAGGAGTGCACCACCACCGCTCAGCTGCATTCTTACAAATACTGGAAATAGCCGGCCATTGCGGTGCACGCCTTTAGTCGCAGCACTCGGGAAGCAGAGGCAGGCGGATCTCTGAGTTCGAGGCCAGCCTGGTCTACAGAGTGAATTCTAGGACAGCCAGGACTGTTACATAGAGAAACCCTGTCTCAAAAAAATCAAGGGCGGGCTGGGGGTGGGGGCAGGGGGAGAAGAGAGCGAATAAGGGCCAGAGGGATGGTTTAGTGAGCAAAAGCTCTTATGGCTGACGACCTGAGTTTCATCTACCGAACCCAAGTCACAGTGAAAGAACCAACTCCACAGAGTTGAATTGTGACTTCCATTTGTATGCCATGGCATATGTGGGCCTTCACACATCATAATATTGATGATGATTCAGGAGCAAATCACGTAGAGTACACAGAATTTAACTATTAATATGAATGTCATGAACAAGCTAAACAAATGTCAAACAAAATGTCATCTCAAAAGGGCATTTACAGTAAAGAAGCCCAGCACCAACATAGGGTAGCTTACAACCATCTGTAACTCCTTCTCCAAGGAATCCAATGATCTCTTCTGGCCTCTCTGGCACATATACACATATGGCACACACACACACACACACACACACACACACACACACACACACACACACACACACAGAGTTTTCGAGAGTTTCTCTGTGTATCCCTGGCTGTCCTGGAACTCACTCTTTAGACCAGGCTGGCGTTGAGTCTCCCCTGTCTCTACCTGAATGGTGGAATTAAAGGTGTAGACCACCAATGCCTGGCTCTTTTTTTTTTTTTAACCATTTTTTTAATTAATTAATTTATTATGTATACAGAGTTCTGCCTACATGCATGCTTACAGGCCAGAAGAGGGCACCAGATCTCATTACGGATAGTTGTGAACCACCATGTGGTTGCTGGGAATTGAACTCAGGACCTCCGGAAGAACAACCAGTGCTCTTAACCGCTGAGCCATCTCTCCAGCCATTTTTTTTTTTTTTTAGGCAGGTAAACCGTTAGGATGGCTCAGCAGATAAAAGGTGCTTTTTCCCAATTCTGACAACCTAATTTCAATTTCTGAAACCCACACAAAGAACTTAAATACATACAAATTTATTCTAGTACTTTAAAATTTTTTTAGCAGGGGTAGTGGTGGCACATACCTTTAATTCCAGCACTCTCCAGGCAGAGGCAGGTGGATTTTTGTGAATTCAAGGGTCGTCTGGTCTACAGAGCTAGTTCCAGGGCAGCCAGGGCTGTTACAGAGAAACCTTGTCTTGAAAAAATGGATATTTCTTACAGTCCTAATATTCACAAGTTTCAGCATCTGTCTAGATATATTCTATCTCTCATTTGGTACCATGTAAGTCTATTTCTTTTTTCTTTTCTTTTTTTTTTAAAGACAGTTTCTCTGTGTTGCTTTGGAGCCTTTCCTGGAACTCACTCTATAGCTCAGGCTGTCCTCGAACTCACAGAGATCCACCTGCCTCTGCCTCCCAAGTGCTGGGATTAAAGGCGTGTGCCACCACCGCCAGGCTAACATACTCATTCTTTAAACATCTATTTTTACTTTTTTAAAATTTATTTTGGGGGCTGAGAAATTAATCAATGGTGAAGAGCACTTGCTGCTCTTTCAGAGGATCCAAGTTCCTTTCAGCAACACAGGGATCACTCAAAGTACTCTTGAACACTTAACCCCTGTCTGGAACCTTTTTTTTTTTTTTTTTTGAGACAGGAAACTTAGTATATATCCCTAGGTATCCTGGCACTTGATATGTATACCAGACTGGGCTCAAATTTAGAGATCCACCTGCCTCTGCCTCCCAAATGCTAGGAGTAAGTGTCCATCACCACAATGTAAGTGTATGAACCTGCCTGGGTTTAGGTGCACCACATGTACACAGAAGCCCATGGGGACCAGAAAAGTCTTGAGCAGCCATGTTGTTTTGCTTTTTGTTTTCTTTGAGATAAGAGTTTGTCTACTTTGGTTGTCCTGAAACTAGCTCTGTAGACCAGACTGGCCTTGAACTCACAAAGATCTGTCTGGCCTCTGCCTCCTGAGTTCTGGGATTAAAAGTGTGCACCACCACCCAGCTCATGAGCAGCTATATAAGTGGCTAGAACCCATAACTGGGTCCTCTGCTAGAGCAGTGTCCCGATTTGAAACCTGATAAAGTATCCAAGAGGAAGGGATCTCAATTGAGACTTTACCTCTATTATGATCAGCTGTCAGTAAACCTGTAGGGCATTTTTTTAGTTAGTGATTGAATATTGGAGGACCCAGCCTATTATGGTGGTCCCAGCCCAAAGCAGACTGAGCAAGACATGAGCAAGCCAGTAAATGGCCTTCATGGCCTCTGCATCAGCTCCTGCCTACAGTTTGAGTTCCTGCCCTAACTGCTTTTGATAATGAACAGTTCCATGGAAGTTAGTGAAATAACCCTTTCCTCCCCAATTTCCGCTGGTTATGGTGTTTGATCAATATAACAGTAACCTTAAGACAAGTAAATACATGCTTTTTAATGCTTTTAAAACCCTCAAGGTCATCTCTCCAGCCCCCCATTTTTTTTTTTTTTTTTTTTTTTGGTTTTTCGAGACAAGGTTTCTCTGTGTACTTTTGCGCCTTTCCTGGAACTCACTTTGTAGACCAGGCTGGCCTTGAACTCACAGAGATCCGCCTGCCTCTGCCTCTTGAATGCTGGGACTAAAGGCATGCACCACCACACACGCCAGGCCAGCCCCCATTTTTTAAATGTTTTAAATGTAGCATTATCCTGTTTATCCTTCTTACCTCAAAGTCTCTCATTTTAATATTTATTAGCCATTTACATTCCAAAGGTCTTCTTCAGTCTGCTTTGTTATTTCCTTTTGAACCAGTACCATCTCTTTGTCATCATTTTCCTTTATGAATTCATTTACCTGGCTGGTGGTAGGGAATGGCAAGCATTGGAGGATGACCTGCAGCCACCTCTAATTTATGTTGGATATTCAGAGAAGGGGCCAAGCTCTCATGCTACAAAACCAGTTCATTCCTCAAATTTCTTATCGAACAAGCAATCTTTTAAGTTAGGACTTCCCCCTTTGGACATTTTATCAGGAAGAGCAATGGGAAAGGCACCATTTTGGAGTCTAGGGACTATTATTACCCACCACTCTGATGAGACTAGGAGGCATCCAGGATGAAACAATGCTTACATCAGTTTTTCTAAACTGACACTTGTGTTGACTGAACTGTATTTGTGAAGACATCTGCAGGAGAGGCAGGGTTGAAAACAGGCAATGGCAACAAAATCTAATGAGCCTGCCCACAGTAAATGAGCCAGTTACACTCTCTTCCTAAAACACTTCAAATAGTTCCCCGTCTCCCTTGGAGTATTATCTATTTAGGAATGATCTAAACACAATAAAAGAAGCATTCTAATAAAAAATAAAACAAGACTTTACATGTTTTTATTATATATGACTGTTACTGAAAGCAAAGTTTATACAAAGTGTTTTATACAGATAAAAAAATCCTTGGCTAGCAAAGCCATTTATGTGCATACATACACACAGACACATACACTCATAGTATTTTACAACATAATAATTATACATATATACAAATATACTATTTAAATTATTTCACAATTTTCCAAAATGAGAGGCAATTATAAAAACAAAAATGAATAGAAAGGTGAATAGTCATTACATTTAAAATGTTACAAAATTATTTTTTAAAATCTGAAGAAGTTATTTCATCCAATATCAAAATTAAGGTTTCAGTATTATATCCCTGTTGCTTTTATCCTTTCATTTTGATAACAACTTTAAATGATTAAAAATAAATATTTTGACCAGTAACAGGTAAGTGAATCAGACTGTTGATCTGAATAAGCCCAATCACGATGACCAGGTAAGTAAAAAATGTAGATGATCATCTAGTCATCAAAATTGAGACAAAACCTTCACTTAGTTCCTCATTTAAAACATGAGGAATCAAAGCTTCTGTGTAGAAGAAATATCAATGAAACGCCGTGAAATCCAGCAACTCATCTGTAATGGAAGAAAATACTGACATTATAATTGGATTATTTTGTTTTTCAAAACTGGGTTTCTCTGTGTAGCCCTGGCTGTCCTGGAACTCACTCTGTAGACCAGACTGGCTTCACACTCATAGAGATATACCTGCCTCTGCCTTCAATTGCTGGGATTAAAGGCATGCATCACTATGCACAGGGGGTTTCTGATATGCCCATTTTCTTAAATAATTTATTTTAATGTTATTTTATGTTCATTGGTGTGAAGGTGTCAGATCCCTGGGAACTGGTGTTGTAGACAGTTGTGAGCTGTCATGTGGGTGCTGGGAATTGAACCCAGGTCCTCTGGAAGGGCAGCCAGTGCTCTCAACTGCTGAGCCATCTCTCTAGCCCCGATATGCCCATTTTCATAATAAATGTTGGGGTTAAAAAAAACCAAGTTTATACATAGTCAATTTGCTAATTACTAATATACTGGTTTTTGCTCCCAAGAATTTAACAAAGTTATAAGAGCTGGAGTTCAGGGGGAAATCAGTTAAGACCGCTAAAATGAAATGAAATGACCCACAACCCACAATATGTGCTATTATGCTGGTCAGGGAGAAACCAAATTTTTTCCTTTTTGAGACAGGGTTCTGGCCTAGGCTGGCCTGGAACTCACCACATAAACTAGGCTTGGCTCAAACTTGTAGCAATCCTACTGCCTCTAACTTCTGAGTGCTGGAGTATTAGACCTGCCTGCCTGTCCCCTGAAGTTAATCACTCCATAAATTTACATTCTCTTCACAGAGAATAGGATCATATTTTCAAAGAATATTAAACAGGCTCTTTTTTTTTTTTTTTTAACTTTTTTGGAGACAGGTTGGCCTCAAACTTGGTATATCTATCCTTGAACTCCTAACCTTCCTGTCTCTTACTTCCCTAAGTGTTGGGACTTCAGGCATATGCTACCAGATGAGGTTCTTTTCTCCTTTTTTAAAATTAATCAATTAATTAAATTTTTTAAATAGGGTGTCATGCAATTCTGGCTGCCCTAGAACTCAAAAGATCCTGAGTGCTGTCATTAAAGATGTGTGTTACATGCCCAGCAGAGGTTAATTTCTTAAAGACAGCAATGCCATTGCATACCTTATACTACAGTTTAAAAGTTCTTTAGAATAAGTTAGTCCTCCAAATTGTCTATTATTAAGTCTTGTATTGTAAACTATACAAACAGAAATTTAATTTCATAATAAACTATTAAGTTTCTTTAGAAGATCTCACTAGCAAATCAACTGCTTTCCAAGAACATGGATATTAGAAGATCAGACATAGTAGGGATTAGAAACTAATGATTCAAACTCAAAAATAATGGGCTAAAATAGACTGATAACTAAAAAATATTTAAGCCCTTCACATAAGATCTATATTCAAATATGGCTTCTTTCTTAAAATGTTTACATTTATTTACTGTGCAGGAGGAGGAGGTTGGGCATGTGTTCCACAGCACACGTATCAGGCTCTGGTCATCAGGCTTGGCAACAAGGGCCTTTACCCTTGAGCCTTCTTAACAGCACCCATTATGATTTCCATTTATATTTAATTCAAGCTTAATTCAAAATTGGATTTTGGCCGGGCGGTGGTGGCGCACGCCTTTAATCCCAGCACTTGGGAGGCAGAGCCAGGCGGATCTCTGTGAGTTCGAGGCCAGCCTGGTCTACAAAGTGAGTTCCAGGAAAGGCGCAAAACTACACAGAGAAACCCTGTCTCGAAAAACAAAAACAAAAACAAAACTGGATTTTGTTTGAGGTGCTTTTGAGACCATCTTACACTGTAGCCCAAGCTGCCCTTGAACTTACTATGTAGCTAGGTGGCCTCAACTTGAACTGATCTTCCTATCTCAGGTCCGCAAGTGCTAGAATCACAGGGATGTACCACCATGTCTAGCTTTAAAATTTGATGTTTGCATTCAATTAATTTTGATGAGAAGCAAACTGAAAAAAACAATGATACATTAAATACTGTAATATTTTTTCCTTCCATAAAAATCCAAAATACAGGAACTGGAGAGATGGCTCACCAGTTAAGAGCACTTACTGCTCTTGCAGAGGACTCAAGTTCATTTCCTAGCACTCACACTGGGTGGCTTACAACCAACCACCTATAACTCCAACTCCAGGGGATTATGACACTTCTGGCCTCCAAGGACACTGGCACTCATGTACAAACACAAACACAGACACACAAGCATAAACATAATTAAAGATAAAATGAATCTTTTAAAAAACCACAAAATACTTAACTGGCTAAGGTGCTGCAGAAAAAAATTTGTGTATATTTAAATATTGCTTTATCAACCTACATAACCAGGCTTAAACTAAAGAACCCTCAGGTTCCTCAGAAATATGACTTCAAACAGTGAAATTTTTACTAAAGTCCACCTTGTCATGTATTTGGATGACAACAGATTTATATCTATGAACACATTTTCCAGATTTAAAAAAAAAAAAAAGTGAGGCTAAGGGCTTTGAAGAGACGGCTCAGTGGTTAAGAGTTTTTGCTAGGTCAGGTGTGGTGGTGCACACCTTTAATCCCAGCTCTCCAGAGGTATAGTCAGAAGAACTGCTGTGAGATGCAGGCCAACCTGGTCTACACACTGAGTTCTAGGACAGCCAGGATTACAAAGAGAAACCCTGTCTCAAAAACAAAACATTTTGGCTGCTCTTTTAAAAGATGCAGATTGAATTCCTAGAACTCACATGGTAGCCCACAACTCCAGAGGATCTAACACCTTCTTCTGGCCTCCTGAGGCACCAGGCACACACATGATACACATACATACATGCAGGCAAAATATCCAAATACATTAAAAAGAAAAAAAAGTGAGGCCAGGCATGGTGGCACACACCTTTAATCCCCAACTCAGGGGGCAGAGGCAGGCAGGCAGATCTTTGTGCTCAAGGCCAGGCTGGTCTGCACATCTACACCCAGGATAGATGGCCCTACATAGTGAGACCCTGTCTTAGACAGACAGAGAGGGAGAAACCAGATTACATAATACATTCAGTAGTTATGAAACATTTCTATATGATTCTTATTCTTCATCTACAGGAAAATGTTTTAGGCTGGGGTGTAGCTTAGTGGTAGAATAGCTGCCTGGTAAGCACAAGGCATTGAGTTTGATCCCCAGCAATACTGATAACTCATTAATTAAAACACATTTTATTAATGGATTTCAGCAATTAATGACTTATCCGCAACCACTAAGCTAAGGAATCAGCCATAGTGGTGATCTGGCCGTCACTGGTGATACTACAACAGCCTGCAGGTAAGGAGACATTAATCATTTCCACACCCACACTCAGATCTCCTCCAGTGACTAAGGTTGTGACATGCACAAGGACAAGATCTAGCACTTACAGCATTAACTTCCTGTGATGGACCTACTACTACCTGCATTTTGACTTCTCAAAGAGCTTCTTCAGCTGCTGGAACCTCTCTAAAACCTGAAAAATTAAAAATAATTACAAATATATCCATTTTTTTAAAGCTTTGATGAATACTTTCATAAAACATATACAAACAGTAAAATTATCATAAATAATAAATAATGTTTAGAAAAATAAAACATCTTCAGGCCTGAGGACAGAGAATGCTGCCTAGCATGTACAAGACTGGAGTTCAATCCTCAACACTACACAGACTAGGCATGGTGGCGCATGCCTATAATCCCTGGAATCTTGAGGTGGAGGCAGGAGGATCTAAAATTCAAGGTCATCCTTGGCTCCACAGTAAATTTAAGACTGGGCTAGTCAAGTCTCCCAGTCAGAGTCAGTCAGTCAGTCAGTCTGTCTCTCTCTCTCTCTCTCTCTCTCTCTCTCTCTCTCTCTCTCTCTCTCTCTCTCTCTGTCTCTGTCTCACTCACACACCTTTTGCTTTAATTCTCAATTATTCTCAAACATTACTATCTAGTTCCTTGAAAAAATATATATGTAGATGAAGGGGGGATCTGGATCATTTCTGACATTTCTTATACAATCATCAAACTTAACAGTACTACAGGAAGCAATTATTTTTAAGCAAGTTAGCTAATAAATATCTTTGTGTTTTGATAGGTTAAAAATTAAATTTGGGGCTGGGAATATAGATCAACGGTAGAGTTCTTGCCCAGCATGCATGTGGCTGGGTTCAATCCCCAGCACAAAACTAAGAAAGTTAAGTAAATTAATAAATCTAAGTAAGTCCGGGAGCAACATCTCTGATCTAATAAAAATGTAAAATCTGAGTAATTACCTGATTTGGATTTTTATTCAGCTTGACAGCTAAATATGTAAATGTTTTCAGGGATGGCATTCTTTTCTGACACTCTAGTAAAATTTCTCGGTCATCATTTCTGAGGAGGAAAAGTTGTTATTTAGCTTTTTATGTTGACATAGAAAGGTAATAAGTTCCACTGCCTTCATAGCTTTCAACAGGAACACCACTTTCAGTAAACTCTATAGTAAAAAGTGTATATATGCAAAAACTAAAAAGTTCACATAAAACTCAAAGTACATTCTACTTATGAAACAGCTTAGAAACATCAATTATGTACACCCCTACTTTGTTTCACAACTTTCACTGATCTGTCACTCCTTTCTAAACTGTGTTTGTAAGAATTTCCTTCCAGGCTCTTCCCCAGATATCAGAATGAGCTATTCTCTCAGCAAATGTATATAGACATTCTCAATTCATGAGCTAAATGAATATGGTGGTATGTATATACATGCTTTAGCACATATGCATTTATCTTCTAGGTGTGCTACCAAGTCCTAAAACCAGCTACATACAGTTCAGTAGTAAAAAAGAAATCTAGTACCATAATCTTTGTAAGTATAGTATTCTAATAACTAGGACAAGGCACTCCTGAACAGTTTAGATCTGCTACAGATCTGGTTAATTTCTCTAATCTTAATGGAAGCTATGTTAAAGACATGGGGGAGTTTTCTGTACTAAGATTAAAACTGTTCCATTAGGGCTGGAGAGATGGCTCAGAGGTTAAGAGCACTGACTGCTCTTCCAAAGGTCCTGAGTTCAATTCCCAGCAACCACATGGTAACTCACAACCATCTGTAATGAGATCTGGTGCCCTCTTCTGATTTACAGTCATACATGCTGTATACATAATAAATAAATAAATCTTAAAAAAAAAAACAAAACTGTTCCATTAATCTAAAATTATTTCAAGACCTAAACCAGGGTATAAACTCTAATATTTTTGTTTCTTTGTTTTTTTAATTTTGGGGTACTTCATTTTAAACAAATTCTCTTAATTAAAAAAATAATAATAATTTCCTTCCAAACGAAAGAAAATCTTTTAATGGAAAAAGGGAAGTTAAAAGTAATGAAAGCAGCCGGGCGGTGGTGGCGCACGCCTTTAATCCCAGCACTCGGGAGGCAGAGCCAGGCAGATCTCTGTGAGTTCGAGGCCAGCCTGGGCTACCAAGTGAGTCCCAGGAAAGGCGCAAAGCTACACAGAGAAACCCTGTCTCGAAAAACCAAAAAAAAAAAAAGTAATGAAAGCAGTGCTGGAGAGATGGCTCAGTGGTTGAGAGGCTGCTCTTCCAGAGGACCCAGGTTCATTCCCAGCATCCACATGGCAGCTCATAACTGTCTGTAACTCCAGTTCCAGGGGATCCGACACCCTCACACAGACATATATGCAGGCAAAATACTGGTGCACTCTGCTGACTCCGCAGGGGAGACCTTGCCTTGGAGGAGGTGGGAATAGGGGGTGGATTGGGGGGGAAGGCTGGGGGGTGGGAGGAGGGAGGACAGGGGAATCCATGGCTGATATGTAACATGACTAGAAAATCTCTTATATAAAATAAAAAAATATAAAAAATAAAAAAAATTAGTTAAAAAAAAAAAAAAGCCAGGCAGCGATGGTGCACGTCTTTAATCCCAGCACTTGGGAGGCAGAGGCAGGTGATCTCTGTGAGTTCGAGGACAGCCTGGTCTAGAGAGCAAGCTCCAGGACAGACACTAAAACTACATGGAGAAACCCTGTCTCGAAAAACCAAATAAATAAATAAACAAATAAATAAGCAAATAAGTAAATAAATAAGTAAATAAATAAATGCAATGAAACCCAGTGTGGAGACTTAGAAGATCCTGAGTTTAAGGCCAGTATGTACTACAGTGAGGCCTAATCCAAAAGCAAACCAGCAAGCCATGTGGTAGCTCATACCTTTAATCACAGCAATTTGAAAAAGAGGCAGGTGGATATGAGTGCCAGATCACTCAGGGTTACAGAGTGAGTTTATATCTCAAAACCAAAACAAACCACCTCCCAAACAAAACAAACAAATCCCACAATAAATAGCTCTATTAAGAGGAGTCATTCACATCTCTGGATAAAAACTGTTATTTAGATTGTTTTACACCATAGCTAGATTGTACCAAAATACACTGCCAACTAATTTTGGCCAGTTATTTTTTTAAATTATGTGTATATGTGTGTGTGAGAGAAAGAGTGTGTGTTTGCATGCAAGTTCAGATGTTCTCAGAAGCCAGAGACATTGGTTCAAGTGGAACTGGAGCCACCTGATGTGGGTTCTGGGAACCAAAGTCAAGTCCTATGCAAGAGCAAGTGTTCTTAACCAATGAGCCATCCCTTCAGCCCCTTCTAAAGTAATTAATCCATCATGTCCCTATTCAGGATGCAATAGAATTCTGAGGAAATGACAGATTAGACTGCCAGCCTCTCAAAATCTCCTAATGATTTCAAACATTTCAGGAAAGTCTTACCTTGTCCATGAAACTATAACTTCTCCCTTCTTTTTGATAACGTTCTTTGCAGAAAGGCTTGTTGGAAAAGTAGCAAGTGCTGTTGCTGAACCCTTCACCACGGGGCTAGCCTCTGATGGCAAGGATGTATTGTCCTTCACTGCAGGTTCCCTTTTCTTGCTGGCTTGCTTTCTGTGAGCATCACTATTTCTATCAGAATTCTGAGTAAGTCTCTTGGTCTTTTCATTACTTAAGTCTGTTTCCTTTCTTTGTTTTTTCTGAGAAGAATGATTTAGACCAGGACTGGTTTTTCTCTTCTTGTGAACATTACTTAGAGTCCCAGGCAACTCTAAACAATCCAAGTTTGATGGTGGTTCTGATTTTAAAGCAGGTCTCTTTATTTCACATGAGCCAGGAGACTCTGGGGTCAAATCAATACAAGTTTCTTCAACAAAGCATTGTAAAGGACTGCCTGCCCTTCCCATCTTTGCTTCTTTATTGTTATCCTCATCAATACATATGACCTGGCATTCCAAGCCTTCAACAGCTAACACAGGTTCACTACCTTCATTTTTACCCTCATTTGAAGTATCATGTGTCAAATCAATAAAAGCATCTATAGTATCAGGCTGTAAAGAACTACCAATTATCTGTGCATCTTGATCTAAGTTGGTTCCAGAACATTCCAAGTGGTCAATATTTAAAACTGTTACTTCCATGAGTTCTCCCAGGTTTTTAGTCTCAGTGGCTGGATCTTTTGTTAGGTCTATGTGTGTATTAGGAAGATGATCACCGACAGAGTGTGGGATTTTTTCCGTTGAAGGCAATTCTTGAAGGTTCTCAGAAACTTTTGGTTCCCATACTTGTTGCAACTTGAAACAATCATCAACCACTTGATCACAATGCTCTACCTTACTTGAGGCATCTTTAAGAAATTCATATATATCTGGAACCTGTGTTTGCACTATAGAGTTCTGTTCTTCATGAATTAGCTTGCTATTATCAACATTTTTGTCAGAATTCTCCAAGTCTTCGACAGACTTAAAAACTGTACTCTGAAATGGAGTAGGTTCTTCCTCTGCTGCCACATCAGCTTCTTTTCCAGTTCTAGGCAAAGATGTCAAGGACTCCTCAGCTACCATACCATGTTTAAGGCTAGGGGAGGTAGATGGTGCTGCACGCCGTATTTTCACAATGAAATGATCATTGGATTTCTCCATTATGACAGCATGCATAGGCAGATTAGGGTGGTACTGAAAGCCTGGAGCAACAGATCGGCTTGTCCATGATGAACAGCTTGACTTACTGCTTGAGTTATCAGACTCCAGAGCTAGATGAATGTCCTGTTCAGAGGCATCCTCTTCCTCAAGCAAAGCATCTTCACTAAAATGTGCACTAATAACTTCTTCAGGAGTTGAAGTTGACAGAACTTCAGGCTTTAAGAAACTCAAATGGCCATCTGACTTCAGAGGTGATGGTACTGTTAAAGAGACCGCAAGATCTTCTAAGAGTATGGAAGAGATGCAAGGTTTACTCTTTTCTGAGCTGTATACATTATCTTTACTTAAAGCAAGGTTAGAAGATACTTCAAACATACAATTTTCATCTAACACATCGGGATGAACTGGCAGCGAGAGCCCTGAAGAGAGAGATGGACCCTTCTCAGCCGATAATAAAGACCAGTTATCATCACTGATCACTTTGGGGCACGGAGAAGCCCCCTCTGAAGCTAGTTCTTCTGTTGTGCAAGCCGGCGCAGAGTCACACTTGAGGCTCTCTAACAGCTGTTTCTCCGGAGTCTTTAATTCCCACTCTGTCTTTTCAGTACCGTTAACACCGGTGTCCAACAGATCAGAACCCTGCAGCAAACTTTTAAATATTTCACCCATCTGCGCATCACTCACTAAGTTAAAAGTAAGGCTGGATGCCTGCTGCTCAGTAAGGATCTCAAAACTCCGCTCTGGCTTAGCACCTGCATGCTGCAACACATGTGCCTCTTCCATGGTATTTCCTTCATTCTTTCCTGGCTTGGGGGTGCTTGGGCAGTTCATTTCCAGAAACTGTTCTTTACATTCAGAGTTCTTTGTATTATCAGGACAAGTGCTAAAATGTCTTTTTGCATCATGCTTTACTGTGCTAGTACTGCTGTTATTTTGGTTTTGATGTTTTTTTTCAAATTTTTCACATCCCAGTGAAGATTTAAAATTCACAGTATTTTCTGATTTTGGCACTTTTTCTCTGTGTATTTCTTTGTCGTTGTTCATATTCCCCTTCTGACAATTTGAATGTTGGGTTCTCTCCTTACATTTTTTTTCAAGTTTTCCTTCACCATTGTCACTTCCAAAATTTACAGAACCACAAAACTTTACTAAGATTTTTTTAAGCTTTTCAAACAAATAATCAAGTTGTTCGTCTACAAACTTCCACAATTTTCTTTTCATATCTGGTTGTTGTTGTTCAAACAGGCGGTCAACTATGCCATTCTTCTTCACTTGTTTAAGGTTAGATTCTATAACTTCACAAAGGCTCTTCTGTAAAGTACTCACTGACTTACAGATCTTAGAAAAGTCAAGGTATTTAATTAGGGACGTGAAACTCAAAATTGCTGATTCAATAATTCTGTGAAATTGTATCAATGAAAATTTCATCTTGAATTTCATGTAATTTTTCCTTACATGTTGTCCTAGCGTCCGGAACATGCGCATAACCTCCACTACAGAAGAGGGTGCAAGAGTAAGTGGAAGGATTTTCTCCAAGCAGGAGATGCTCATGGTTTTACTTTGCCTTTCAGTGCCCGAAGACCTAGATTCATTTGGTCTTTTACTAGATGTGATGCTGTCCTGAGCGGGTTTTGCAACAGTCTGCTTATGGTCCTTATGTACATGCGCAGTACTCCTCCTGTTCCCTGGGCTGCTTTTACCCATCTGCACGTCAGCAGACGCTCTGGGTCTTGCACTCTTTTCCAAGTGTTTCTGTGCTACAGACTTTTCATCATCACTTCTAATTTCTCCTTCTTCTAATTCATCTAAAGACATATTCTTACAAGAGTCTGCTTCTGAACATTTGTCAAATCTGGGAACTGGTTTTTTATTTTCTTTATTTAGACCAGACTGATTCTTGAAGGTAGAATGAATTGAATTGGATGGAAATTCATCTATGGAGAAGAATATATTAAAATCACATGACCACTAAGTCTTAGTCATTTGACATTTGCATCTTAAACACAACCAAGTATTATTTTAATAACCTTTTCCCCTTTAAGGCAAAATGCTCAATAATCATTTCCATTGGCCTTTATTTCTTGTCTTACAAAGAACTCAAAAAGTGCTAGGGTTGTGACTCGGTGGTAGAGCATTTGTCCAGCATGCACTGAAGTCCTGGATTTGATTTCCAGCACTGGGAAAAATAAAAGTCCCAGAAGGTCAGTTAACTAAAACAAGTGTGTCATCTGGACACTTTTTGTTCCATGTGATCAGCATTACTTCCTCTGTGTTATGTGATAACGGCTTCTGAACAACAGAAGTATACCTGAAATCTAAGACTATACCTCAGTAGTAGTGGAGCACAGGCTTTGAATACTCAAGGCCCTAGGTCTAATAATCCATGACAAAATAACAGGATTATGTATGGATGTATGTGTGTGAAGACAATTGAAACAATTCGTCCAATCACTCCCCTTTTTAATAAAAAGTTAAACTGAGCATGGCAGTATACAACTACAATTTTAACACCTACGAAGATAAGGTGGGATGATCACCAGTTCAAGGTCAGTCTGGGCTACACAGGAAGAACTTGCCTCAGGAAAAAAAAATGACAGTAGAAAAATGGCTTAGTGTCTAAAGTGTTTACCACTCAAATGTGAGGACTGGAGTTCGGCTCCCCAGCACCCACATCAAAGCTTCACAGGTATGGTAGCCCACCTGCAACCCCAGGGTCTGGGAGGCAGAGACAGAGACCTCTGGCAATTCACTTAGCTAGACTAGTCAAATTAGTGAGCTCCGGGTTCAAGGAGATACATTAAGACGAGAGAGTGACTGAGAAAGATATCCCACATCAACTTCTGGCTTCCACACTAGTGTATACATACATGAACATGTATACACTTGGACACTACCCGCATACACACATACACACAATAAAACCTTTAAGCATGGCAGAGCCGGGGTGGAGCTCAGCAGGAGTGCATGTCTAACACAAGAGGTCCTGGGCTCAGTTCCCAGCAGCGGAGGGAAAAAGAAGAATTAAGAGTTGTCCAAATTCTATCTGGAAGATGGAGTCATCCATCAAGCTATTTGTAATTGATACCCACTGGCAAAGGGAAAACCAGTTTCCTTTAATGAAGTGCTACTGGTTTATCAACCATACTCCAGGACAGGGACCATGCCCAGGAGTAGTTGGCCTACACAAAACAAACTATTTGGTCTTTGGTTTCTTTTGTGTGTGGGCGCTTTATGGTTCATTTTGTTTTGTGATTTTTTTTTTAACTTACTTTTTTTTTTTTAATTTGTGTTTTTGCAATTTTGTGAGATTTTTTTTGAAAAAGGAAAATATAAAGTTGGATGGGTGAAGTGAGGAAGATCTGAAGCGTTGGGGCAGGAAAAACAGGATCAAAACATAGTGCATAAAAAAATTTAAGTTGGCCGGGCAGTGGTGGCGCATGCCTTTAATCCCAGCACTCGGGAGGCAGAGCCAGGCGTATCTCTGTGAGTTCGAGGCCAGCCTGGGCTACCAAGCGAGTCCCAGGAAAGGCGCAAAGCTACACAGAGAAACCCTGTCTCGAAAAACCAAAAAAAAAAAAATTTAAGCTGTTTTGGCTGACGGTGGTGGCACACGCCTTTAATCCCAGCACTTGGGAGGCAGAGGTAGGCAGATCTCTGTTAGTTTGAGGCCAGATTGATCTACAAAGTGAGTTCCAGGACAGCCAAAGCTACACAGAGAAACTTGTCTCAAATAAAAAAAAAAAAATTAAGTTGTCTAAATTCATATTAAAGGCTCAGTGTACACTTCTATTTTTAATTTATTCACTTAAACTTACTTATTTTTTGCTAAAGGACCACTGAACTTGATGTTGTATTTACGTATCTTTATCTGTACAAAATAATGATTATAAATGTTTGCTTGAAAAGGTGAAATGCAAATGTGAATTTAACAAGTTGTAGATTCTCAACACTATACAAACTCCTTTGTTACAAATAAATACTTATGTTTCAAAATAAATAAATTAATAATAACAATTAATAAAACTTATTTTTATTTTATGTGCATTGGTGTTTTGCCTGTATGTCTGTGTGAGTGTTGGATCTCCTGGAACGAGTTACAGACAGTTGTGAGCTGCCATGTGGGTGCTGGGAATTGAACCTAGGTCCTCTGCAAGAGCAACCAGTACTCTTAACAGCTGAGTCATCTTTCCAGCCCCTCAGTGTACACTTCTAATTAATATTTGAATAATGATTTTTTTTTTTTTTTGTTATCAGAAAAGATGGCTCAGGAGCTGGAGAAGTGGCTCAGTAGTTAAGGGGCCTTAATGCTCTTGAAGAGGACCAGGATTTACTTCTTAGCACCCATACGGCAACTCACAGCTGCCTCTAACTCCAGTTCCAGGAGATCCAGTGCCCTCTTCTGGCCTCCACAGGCACCAGGCACACACTTGGCGCACATACACACATGCAGGCATTTATACATACACAGAAATCTAAAAACTGGGGGAGACTAGAATAAAGGTTCTTGCCACACAACCTTAGTGGTCTTAGTTCAATCCCTAGACCCCATATAAAGGTGCTCTAGAGTACCAACTCCATGATTGTCCTCTGGTCTCCACAAGCATTCCCTGGCACACACAAACCCCTCACACATACACACAATCACACAATAGAAATGAATAGTTTTTGTAAGTCCCCAAAGCACCTATGTTGTTTATATAGTCTACACTGTGACAAAAGGACAACTTATAGAAGATAATATAAACTATTACCTTTATGACGGTTATCAAACTGGGGAATTACACAAGGGCTCTCCACACTAAGAACTTTTGCTACAGGTCTCACTGGACTATTTAAAGGGCTGATGGCTTCTGGAATAGGTCTCAGATGACTAAAGTCAATGCTCAAAACTGAGTTATCATCATCTTGATACACTGAGTTTGAGTCTCCAGTTTCTATTTTGTGGTCAATCAACTCAGTCTTCTGTGGTGAAGGTACAAAAGTCTCTTTAGGTAAATAAGGATCCAAAGGACAAGATTTATTCTCAACCATAGGTGTATCTTCAAGAGAAGATTCGAGTTTAGGATTATTGTCTCCCCAACAGTTTACTAGTGCAATGCCAGCTTCTTCAACCAAAGGCTGCAGAAGGCTCTCACTGGCCACAGCTGCTTTTGGTGAAAGAACCACCTTCCTTTTTACACCTTCAGAAATATCACAACAATTCAAATCATTATGTCCTTTGGTGTCCAATTCTCGGTCCAAGGCTTCAGAAGCATGTCCTGGTAAAACATCCATAACCACAGAAGCTGTGGCCCTCGTACTACCACACGTCTCTTCCACTTCCATTGAAGGAAGCAAGGGTCTTGTTTGCTCTATCTCTGCATGTGCCGGCAAGGAAATTTCTGTGCCACAAACAAGCATTTCACAAGGCATAGTATTCTCAACAGATTTAACCAACAATCGATTTTCTTCCTTCGTTTTGTTTTCTGCAATGCTGATCCTGAGTTGAGATGCTGCTGGAAGAGCCTCCTTTGGCTCTGGTAACCCTGATTTGGTTTCCTCTGTACTACGTTCACTGACAGAAGGAAGACATGCCACTGTTTCAGTCTTCTCCGAGGACTGTGAGTTACACATGCCACTGGGCTTGGGCACACCAGTTATTTGATGCTGGTTATCTTGACAAACAGGCTGCTTTTTAGCAGGAGAAAGAGTTAAGTTCAATTTTTCCATGAAGCTTAGCTTTAAGTCTTTGCTTTTTCCTTCATTTGGTCCATTCTCAACTTTCATTGCACATTCTTTATTACCTGTTCCTTTAGAAACCTCATCATTAGAGATGTCACATTTACCATTTTTTGGCTCAGTCTGTCTCTTTACATCAGTAGTGCTTTTCTTAGCTTCTTTATTAGTCCTTTGCAAATGTTCAGTAGGCGATTTTTTGTCATTTTTCACATGTCTATTTTCGTCTTTGTTTTCTCGCTCTCTTTTCCTCCTGTCCTCAGTCCTATGTCTTTCTGATTTGAAAGGTGTACTTTCCCACGGGTGTGCAACACTGACATCCTTGGAGTGTGAGTGCTTGCTGTTTCTGCTGCTCGAAAGAGAAGATGATCGTCTTCTGTCTTGAAAGCCGTGACTGCTCACCCCTCTGTCTCTTCTGCAATCTTCCCTTCCCCTCCTCTCTTCCGGATGGTATTTACTGAAGCCGTATTTCATGTCATTCTTGGAATGAGGAGGCAACGCCCGATCCACTCTTCCCCGGTGCCCCTGGTCCTCTCCTGCTGGTTTAAACTTCACATCACCTTTTCTTTCTGCTTTGTCCTGAGACTGAAGCTCTTTCCTGTGCAGATTTTGTAATCTTCCATTTTGTCTCTCTGGATTTTTGTCATTTTGAGATTCCACTCGAGTGTGTGGCCTTTCTTTGGAAGTCTCTTTCTCCCAAGAGGAGGCGCTGCGCTCACTTTTATATCCCAAACCAGTGCTGCTTTTGCTCTCGGGACTTTTGCCCTCAGGCTTTGTTTCACTGCTTCCACGTTTCTCAGGTTTTCCTTGGAGTCTGCCGTTAGCCTCTTTGTCTCTTGGCTCTCCATCACTACAGCTGTTATTCAAGTCTTTCTGTGGTCTGTCAGTTCCTCTGCTACACTGGCTACGTCTAACGCCATTCTTTCCTCTTCTATTATCCTCGTTTGAGTTACCTTCGCCAACCTGGTAATGAGAACGTGACCAGACATTGTTGGCACAATGTTTCTCAATACCCGTAGGCAAGTGCAAAGGATTCTGTGCTTCAGAATGTGATTTTCCTCCTTCTTCCAGGTTTGGCTGTGAAGTGTTAGGATGTACATCTTTATGAACATCACTTTTAAGTCTGTGGTCAGTCTTTGAACAATCATCCAAATGGGGAGATCTGGATCTTGAGTCTTTTGTTCTTGCAGTTTTATGGTTATTCCGAAAATGTGGAAACTCAGACAATCTATTAAGAAATAAGAATTAACAAAAAAGCAAAGTTAACTGATACTTAATAGTATTCTAGATTTTAGTCACATATGACATACTTTTCAAATTTAAGGGCCTATATACTGGCAAAACCAGTATGAACAATCGATTTGGGCTGGGGGCGTACTGCAGTGACAAAGCATTTGCATGCAAGAAAACACTGGATTAAAAACAAAGAATTTATCAGTTTCCAACTAAGTGGGTCCATTCTCAATACAAGGAACTCTCTCATTTGCTTTTGCTTAAAGGAACTCTATCCCATCACTGCCAGTTAGTTCTCTTTGGACTCCACACAGGTGCATAACTCCCAAGTCAGCATAGCACACTTCGTTTAGGACAAGTGAGCTTACTTTCTTCCCTTCAATAACCTGATTGAATAAAGAGAAAGTTTTCCTAGACGAAACATGATCAAACTCGACAGAATTCCCAATCGTACTTTTCTGTTTTATATAAAACTCCACAGTAAGGCAGATCATTATCAGGGGCAGATGACATACAAAACTGTGGTTCTTTCCTTAGAAGGGTGACAAAAGGCCCATTGTTATGGCTTGGATTGGTGTTTTTCTTAGTGATAAAATATATGAGCCAGCATGACAGTTGGTAGAAGAGCTTGCCTTGGGGACTGGTAATCAAGGACTCCAATCCCAAGCTCCACCTAATTGAAGGGAGAGGGCCAACAGCCACAAGTTGCCCTACACACATACACATACACACACACACACACACACACACACACACACACACACACACGAAATTTAAATTTCTAAAAAATAAAATAAAATATAGATTTTATTTGCAACTGCAGTTACCAGCAGAAGGTCTGCACAGATTGAGCTCATCAACATTTCATCATTGTCCCTCTCTGAGGGACCACTGACAGTTAATGCTGTTTGGGGAGAAAATGTTACTTTATCCAGTTGTATAGCTACTAAGCAATTGCCTATGCTCAGCCTCCCAGCCATGCTCACGCAGGCAACCTTAATTTAACTCGAATTGCTCACACACAGAACAGGACATAAAAGTAGGAAGACTTCTTGGAAGAAGAGTTTTAGCAGGAGAGGGAGAGGAAAGAGATCGGAGAATGAGAATGAAATTCATTATATACACATATGAAACTGTCAAGTATTTTTAAAAATTTAAAATGGAGGTATCTTATATTATCTTTATGCAATAACTTCACCTTAATGAACTTCAACATCACTGACTTTTCAAAACTCTCTTCCTAATCAGTACTCACTGTGTAGAAAAACCCACAACAGAACCTCAGAAATAAGAGGAGCGTGTCCTAAAGAAAAAGACTTAGGAGACCCACAACCATCAGCAATATGTACACCTCATAGAACGCTGTTATGTTTGAATTGTACTATTTATTCCCTTTACCTTCAGGAAGTTTACATGCAGAGGTCTTGATGCACAGTATCTAAGAATATAACCTTACTTGGACACACTAAATTAGAAAACCAATACAGATCTCAACTCAGTCAATTAGGTATTAGAGGAGTAACTTGATGGTACAGTTTTTGCCTAACATGTGGGAGGCCCTGGTTCAATCCCTGGAATCAGAAAAATAAGCAATTACCAGAAGATACCTGAGACAACTGGGGAAGTGTGATAATAAGCAGTAACTATGAAAGGGAAACACTTTAGAACTAAATTTTGGGGTTGGGGATTTAGCTCAATGGTAGAGCGCTTGCCTAGCAAGCACAAGGCCCTGGGTTCGGTCCTCAGCTCTGGGGAAAAAAAAAACAACCCTAAATTTTGCTAAGAGATAGAACTTCTGTTTCACAAAAGATACAAATAACAGAGCAAAAGGCAAGTCACAGAACTAGAGACTTTTCCAACACAACACATACTGTATAGTTGTGTAATGTACCCCACCACTTATCAAACCACAAATTCCTAAAAGACTGTGCCAGGTCCCAACTTCTGGTACAGACTATAGAGTACTACCATTAAAAGTTCTGATTTAATCATATGTACTTGTTTTTGTGTGTTTATTCCTGGGTGTATGTGTGTATGGGCGCGCACGCGCGCACACACACATACAAGTCAAGGTCACAGGAAAACAGGTGGGAGTTGGTTCTCTGCACCATGAGGATTTCAGGGATGAATCTCATGACATCTGGCTTGGCTGCAAGCTCCTTTATCAGATGGGCCATTTTAAAAGCCCTCAAAGTTTTACCTTTATATATACTTTTACACTGTACATTTTTCAGTATTCACATGTTTAATTTTTCTGCTTATTTTAGCCATGTTAAGATTTCAATTTTGCTTCAGTAAATGTTAAATTTCAACTACATGCTAACTAGTTACTATTATAATACTAGTTAGCTCACAGTGAAAATAGTTGGTAGAATATTTATTAAATACATAGCCATATAAAACCAATTAATAAGGTTTTACACACACACACACACACACACACACACACCTTTTCAAGCTGGGTATGGTAGCACACATCTTTCTTTAATCCCAGTCCTTGAGAGTTAGAGGCAGAAGGGTCTCTGTGAATTCTAGGATAACCTGGTCTATAACAGAGTTCCAAATCAATGCTACATACAAGCAAACCACCACCACCATCACCACCACCACAACCAACAACAAAAAAACCCAAACAACTTCTCCAACAATTCGGGAACCAATGTCAATACAAGGTACACTGGGAATGACATAAGTCAATAAATACATAAACATCTGCCTTTACTTTCTAAAGACCTAAATAAGGCAAAATGGTCCACACAATGGCAGTCTTTACGCCAGATAACATGAGAGTAACTGGGAAAATGCTCAGACCAAGCAAACACATCCCTACTTCATGAAACTTCCACAGCAGTAAAAGCAAAAGACAGAAACCAAGGAATCTCATTCATAATTTGAAGAACTGAAGGTATAAATAAACCTACAAAAGAAGTCTAACTTAGACACAGGGACCAGATAAGTATCTCCAGCCAGAAAGATGGTTAATTAGGGGCTGGAGAGGGGGCTTAATGGTTAAGAGCACTGGCTACTCTTCCAGAGGATCTGGGCTCAATTCCTCTAGATTGAGAATGGTGATCACAACCATCTGTAACTCCAGTCCCAGGGATCTGACACTCTCTTCTGGCCTCTACAGGCACCAGGCACACACATGGTATACATATATACAGACAGACAAAACACTCATACACATAAAATTAAAAAAAAACAAGCAACAAAAACAAGATGTATATGCCAAAACCAGAGGACAAAGGGACAAGCCATTCCACAAAGCATAAAGAGGACACACACAAAGGCAGACCTTGGGGTACCTGAAGGAACTGAAAGAACACCAGAGCCGTGGTACCCATGCAGAGGTAAGCACAAGCTGGCCTGAGAAGTTGTTGGGCCTATACTATAAGGGACTGGAGGTCAAGTTAAGATATTTGACCTTTTATCCCAATGGCAGTCAAAAGCCACTGACATTACTACTGGTTTGCATGGGAGTAGGTAGGCTACAGCATCTGAATAAATGAAGAGAAATAAACACAGTGCCAGACCACGGAACATAAGCATCAAGTGGTGGCTTTGAGGAGTGGTTGAGAGGGAAGCAACACAAGCAGAGTGATGATGTGTTCTAGTTTGCCAGTCTGGTGTTAACAGCAACTTCTCTCAAGGACTCTAACGTCAGCACTAAGCTAAATGCCACCCACTTCCTACAAGTCTGGCTTACACTAACTGAATAAATGACATTGTTTTCTACTAAGCTAGAGGACAATAGAAAAAGCTTCATAACAAACTTTTTGGATAAATTTTGAAGGCCCTTTAAAGACTCATGTAGATATAAAGTACACACACACAAATTAAATTGGCCTAGCATGTATGAGATTGTTCTTATGAAGAAATTGAAAAAGAAAAGAATGCAGCAGGTAGACTAAAGAGACAGCTCATTGGTTAAGAACACATTACTGCTCTATTTGAGGACCGGAGTTCAAATCTCAATACCAAGATTGGGTAGCTCCCAAACATCTGAAACTCCAGCTCCAAGTGGATCTGATGTTCCTTCCGGCATCCATGGGCACCGACAAGCACACAAACAAATAAAATAAATTTAAAAGAGAGAGAGAAAAAGGACAAAGGCTTGATATTTGAGAGACCCAAAGTAACAGCCAAGACAGAAAAATAAACCCAGGAAGGTAATTAAAAACCATCACATTGCTAATGTAATTATAGGGAGAAACTGCTGCTCCAAAGCAGGAGGGTAACAGGGTTAAACAACACACAAGAAGACAGTAAAACCGACAGTCAGACACTGTTTGATGGGTTTAGTGGAAGTGACTGATGATCAAAACGACAACTGCTTTGGTAGACCAGTGGAAGCAAAACAGGACTGGGTTCAATAAGTGCAAAGGGCTGGCAAGATGGCTCAGTGGGTAATGGTACTCGTTAACCTGAATTTAATGTTTGGAACCCAACATGATAGAAGGAAAGCTTGCGTACACGTGTATACACACACACACACACACACACACACACACACACACACACACACACACACACAAACGAGATTTAAAAAAAAAAAAAAGTGCCAAGGGTTCAGTGGTAAAGCCAAAACTTGCATAGCCCACAATACTCTGGGTTCAACTTTCCACACCACCCAAAATCAAAGCAACAACAACAAACCCATATTAAAAAAGCAGAATTTGAAGCAAGGTGTGGTAATGCATGCCTCAGGAGGATGAGATGGGGGATGAACAACAAATTCAAAACCAGCCTTAACTATGTGGTGACACCCTATCCATCCTTAAACACAAAACAAAACACAACAGAAAGGGAAGAAATGGCAGCAGCAAGTAAGCAATTCTTTCAATTCTAAGGGGTAGATGGGGTAGGCATATAGATATGAACTCCCCTGGACCAAAACGTCACCCTGAATTGAAGAGTAAGAAAAATTAACAACAACAAACCACTTAAGAGAAATTACTTACTAACAAAAGGTTAAGTGTATATTTCTCCTTTCTTTCTTGTCATTTTAAAATTTGCATTAATTTGTTTACTTATATGGGGAGGAGGGGGGCCCAAGCATGACAGAGCACACATGTGAAGGTCATAGTACACTTGTGGGATTGGTTCTCTCCTAGCATCTGGATTTACGGGTTAGGCTCAGGTCAAGGCTTGGCTCAAGTGCCTTCACTTGCTCAGCCTTCTGCCTTCTAGGCGTTCTGGGCATATGCTTCACTGGACCTGAGCTACTTCCCCAGCCCTGCTCTCCTGATGTCTCAGTATCAGGTGTGAGCAGCAGAACTCAGGAACACACAGTGACTTTCTGTGCTAAGCAGTACTAGAGCAAGAGCCCAGTGATTTAGAAAACTATGTATTTGGAAGTGTGTGGCAATGTTCCATCAGGAACCATACTTATCATTATAAACCATTAGCAGAATATTTGCCATTTATATTAGAACTGTAACTATTTAATGAAATACATATTTCCTCCTTTGACTGAAAATAAAATCATACTTCATGTGAAAGGTGACAGATGACATCCATGGTGATACCTTTGGTGAAGATGATTTATCTCTTCATCCTTACGGTTTATCTCCACTCTGGCAGTTTTGATCAGTGCGGAGATATTCTTCTTAAGAGACTGGTTTTCATTTTTTAAGTTCAAGTTCTAAGACACAGATTAATAAGATCTATTAACAGACAAAAATATACAGAATTGTCAATAGTGCTACTTATAATAACTAGTTGTTGTGGGGTGGGGTTTTTTAAGATAAAGCTTGCCTGTACAGATCATGATAACCTTGAACTCTCATGATCCTCCTGCCTCAGCCTCCAATGTGTAGGGGTGTATTACTGGTATATGTCACCGTGTCCAGCTTTCTACTAATTGTTGAATACTAACTAATGCTAGGCATTATACATTTTATCTCAGGTTTCCTATTGCTTGGATGCAGAAGCTGAGATTCTGAGACGATAATTAACACCAGAAAAGGCCCACCTGATAGGAAATACTTCAGACAAGCATCGGACTGTAAAAGCAGTAACACAGGACAGCAAGTTCTGCCATTAGACTGAAGTTCAGTTTTAGTAACTACTTAGTTTTTATAACTAAAACATGATCTGCTAGGTGTGGTGGTGCACACCTTCAGTCCCAGCACTCAGAAGGCAGAGGCAGGAAGATTCTCTGAGAGTTGGAAGCCAGCCTGGTCCACATAGCAAGCTCCAGGCCAGCCAGGGTACATTGTGAGACCATGTCTTAAAACAAACAAACAAACAAGCAAAAAACTCACTAAGAAATGCTAAGCATTACCCTATTGAAAAAGCTAACCATGCAAAGATGTGTTAGTTTTCAAGTAAACGAAAACAGAATCTAGAGCTGGTTCTTTCAGGGAAAAGAGAATCAAGAAAAACAAGTTTACAAAAAAGTAGACAGACCACCGTCACATTCTTTATTTTTGCAGCACAATCACAAAACGGACTATCTGACAACTGTGAATTACCATTTTTTTTTTCTACCAAAAAAAAAAATTCTAATCTTTGTTCCTCAAAACTATTCTTTTTTAGCTGAGTGTGGTGTTACATGCTTTTAATGCAAGCACTTGGGAGGCAGAAACAGGCAGATTTCTGAATTCGGAGACAGACTGATCTGCATAGGAAGTTCCAGGTCAACCAGGGCTACACAGTAAGACCATCTCAAACAAAAGAGAACTATCCTCTTTTAATCCAGCCACTTCTAAAATTACCACTCAATTATTAATTCATCCAGAGCATGTATGTCAATGTCATTTAACTTTGAGTAAGTTTTCCTATAACTTTCATTAATCAAATAATTAAATAGCAAATTCACAAAAAAAAAAAAATTTCGAAGTGGAGAGGGATGGATATGATCGAGGTATATTATATACATGTATGAAATTGTCAAAGAATAAATGTAATTTTTCAAACACACACACACACACACACACACACACACACACACACACACACACACACAAAGAAATAATGTCAGATGCTGAATATTTAGCTCACATGATAGAGATCCAGGCCTTGGGTTCAATCTCTAATGAATAGAAAGAAAAAACTTTATACGCTGCCGATACTTTATGACCTTAATTGCTAATGACCAAGAAAATAGGGCTGGGGATATACTTCAGTTGTAGAGCACTTGCCTCGCATGCACAAAACCTGGGTATCAATCTTTTTTTTCTTCCTTTTTATTTTTTATGTGCATTGATGAATTGCTTCCATGTATGTCTGTGTGAGCATGCTAGATCCCCTGGAACTGGAGTTACAGACAAGTTGAGAGCTGCCATGTGGTTGCTGGGAATTAAACCAGGGTCCTATGGAAGAGTAGCCTGTGCTCTTAACCTCTGAGCCATATATCCAGTCTTGATATTAAGCTTTTAAGAAGCTTTTTATGAACTGAAAACATTTTAATATTTTAACTCTAGTTCTTTTAAAAGGAGACAGTCTCACTATGTTGCCCAGGCTGGCCCTCAACCCCAAGGTTAAATGATCCTCCCACTCCAGTCTAAGCAGCTAGGACTACGCTCATTCATGTATGTATGACTGTAGGTCTGTCTGTCCTGGGGATCAATCCTAGGTTTTTATGTTCTTCAATAAAACATTAACACAAGGCTGCCTGGGAGGATAGCTCAGTTAGTAAAGAGCTAGGCATACAGGCATGAGGATGTAAGTTTGATTCCTCAGAACTCACATAAAAAGTTATTTTGAGTATAAAAAGTTGTACATGCTTATAATCTCAGCACTGGAAAGGTGGAGAGAGTTGGATCCCTGGGGCAGGCAGGCAGCCTAGCTACTAGGTGAGACGCAGGCCAGTGAGAAACCCTGGCTCAAAAGACAAGGCAGATGGTGCCTGAGGAACAACACCCAAGGATGATCTCTGGCTTCCACACTATGTGCAAACAAGTACACTCACACCCATTCACTCATGTGCACAAATACACACTCAAACATAAATGTTTAACAAGGAAGAAATAACCATGATACCTGCGTCTGTATTTCCTTAAACCTTTTCATCAACTCTTTCATTTGCTGCTGACATTTCCCATATTCTGTCTGCAACTATAAAACACAAAAGGACTAATTTAAGCATTATTGTACTTCCTTAGCTATGATGTACTTATAGGTTATTTAGACAGATTACATTTGCTTTTATTTGGGTTGTCATTAATTGTTTCTCAGGTTCTAGATGTAGTCCAGGTTGCTTCACTCTTGATCCTCCTGCCTCAGCTGCCTAAGCACTTAGACTAAGGCAAGTACCACCAAGGCTGCCTAGATTGTTAGTTTTTAAAGTTCAGCCCATTGATAGTACATTATGATAAGCTTCATATTATACTTCTGAACCTTAATATTCCAATATACAGTTAAAAGAAATTTGTTTCATATAAATCTCAGCACACATTATGTAACACACAACTTTAATATAAATAATGAAAAAATAAACTGTTCTATTACAGTAATGGTTTACTAAAGTTTATATATTCAGATAGCATTTCTTGGAAAAACAAGTCAGAGTCAGAAACTACCTTAAATACTGTTAATTCAAGAACTACTTCCTGGGGCTGGAGGAGAGATGGCTCAATGCTTAAGAGCACTGGCTGCTCTTCTAGAGGACCTAGGTTCAATTCCTAGCAGCCACAACTGTCTGTAACTCCAGTTCCAGGGGGGTCTGACAACTCCCCCCCCACACACACACACACGCAGGCAAAACACCAGTATACATAAAATAAAGATAAATCATTAAAAATTGAAAAAAAGAACTAATCTCTAAACCCAGAGTATTTGTTCAATAGTAAGCTGCAGCCTTCTCTTCAGGGGTTACAGAACTAACTTCTTAGTAACAGTGACAACTCATACGTCATTGTATGTTGCTTCCTTTGCGGTTCCCTCTTCAGTCAGGATCTCTTCATACAAATCTAAACAGTTTCTGAACGACACACAGGATCTAGCAGTACTGTCTGAAAACAAACAAAACTTCTATTAAAATATTTGTTAGGGTTCTTTTATGAATTAATTTTATCAAAACATTTTAGTGAGCATAGAGAATGGTTTGTTTTATATTTTATACATGCATACCATTATCTTTTTGTGTTATGATTCTTAAAGTTGCACCTACTTCAAAGGGTTACATTTCTCCTCATCTGTATTTCATACAACCTACACTGATTTCATAGATGATGGCAGGAATGCCACATTATACAAAAATGGCTGTTTCAAAGACTCCAGTATTGTAATTATCTCTATTACAAAACACTAAAAGAAGATGGGCAGTGGTGGCACACGCCTTTAATCCCAGCACTTGGGAGGCAGAGGCAGGAGGATCTCTGTGAGTTCGAGGCCAGCCTGGGCTACAGAGTGAGTTCCAGGACAGCCAGGACTGTTTCACAAAGAAACCTTGTCTTGAAAAATCAAAAACCAACAAAACAAAACCCCCCAAAAACAAACAAACAAACAAACAAAAAACAACAACAAAAAACAAAACAAAACAAAACAAACACTGAAAGATCTGCCTGTGGAAAAGCTCTAATTGGACAGGTGGCCAGACACTCCATTACTGTTCTTCCGATGCATTTGAAGACACTCACAGCAACAGTATTCTGTCACAGCATAGGCAGGGATGCGTATTCAACAGCACCAGTGCTGTTCTTACGATGCATTTGAAGACACTCACAGCAACAGTATTCTGTCACAGCACAGGCAGGGATGCGTATTCAACAGCACCAGTGCTGTTCTTACGATGCATTTGAAGACACTCACAGCAACAGTATTCTCTGTCACAGCATAGGCAGGGATGCGTATTCAACAGCATCAGTTGCCATTTCAATGGTATGAAATATTTTTGCAAAGACCTAATTAAACCTGACTCCTAGAGGAACAAATCTGTGTGCTAATATGTTCTGATCAAGCTTTAGGCCAGAAAGAAATTACCTCAGTGTAATCATCTCAAAGAAAGGGCGTATTATTTCAGAGCTGTAAGTTACTAAGAGTCAATAACAATAAAAGAAGCAGAGCAAACCACCCAAACAAAATGAGATGTTTTATGAAATTTACATACCAGAAGCAGCACTGTCCAACCCAGCATAAATGTCCAATGAGCCTTCATCATTATTTTTAAGAGGAGAGGCTGCAAAAATGGCAAAGACTAGTTAAAACTGGCTTATGAGCTGAGGGTTTTTTTCCATTCCTACTTAGAAGGTCAAGGAAAGCACTATATTATTTCTGCTTCAAAGAAACAGACAAGGGGCCAGGTGGTGGTGTCGCACACCTTTAATCCCAGCAGCCAGGCTTATGAAGACCTCATCATCTTAAGGAACAAAACAGGGGAACCTATGTGAGTTCAAGGCCAGCCTACTCTACAAAGTGAGTTCCAGGAAAGCCAATGATACATAGAGAAACCCCTCTCTTGAAAAACAAACCAACCAAGCAAACAAATAAGACCTAAAACAACAACAGAAATAAAAAAGAACCAACTGAAAGTTCTAAAATAGAAAACTACATATAATAATTATAGTATCATCATCATCACTGGATATGCTTGACTGTGTGCTACTGATTAGTATAAATTACCCAATTTTTTTAAACCAAAACTGTAAAACAGAGGGAAGGAGGAAGGCCTTAAAAATCCTATAAGGGACTGGAGAAATGGCTCAGTAGCTAAGAACACTGGCTCCTCTTCCAGATAATCTGGGTTCGATTCCCAGCAACCACATAGTGGTTCACAATCATCTATATTTCCAGTTGCAGGGGATCTGAAGTGCTCTTCTGACCTCTGCAGACACCAAACACGCATGTAGTGCACATACACACATGCAGGTAAAACACACATAAAATAAAGTGACTAAATCTTAATAAAATATTTAAAGAGTTCTACAGAATAAAGTCAAAATCTCATACAAGATATAACAAGTCTAGAAACAAAAGATAAAGGGAAAATTGGCGATACCATAATAATAGTAAAGGAAGATTAGCAATAGTAAGTTATCCTTCTAAATGCTTTTAATTTCTTTAAGATAAGACTGTTGAGCCGGGCGGTAGGTGGCGCACACCTTTAATCCCAGCACTCGGGAGGCAGAGGCAGGCAGATCTCTGTGAGTTCGAGGCCAGCCTGGGCTACCAAGTGAGTCCCAGGAAAGGCGCAAAGCTACACAAGAGAAACCCTGTCTCAAAAAACCAAAAAAAAAAAAAAGACTGTTGAGGGCAGGGCAGCAATGGCATAGCCTTTAATCCCAGCACTCAGTGGGCAGAGCCAGGCAAATATCTGTGAGTTTGAGGCCAGCCTGGTCTACAGAGCGAGATATAGGACAGGTACCAAAACTACATGGAGAAACTCTGTCTCGAAAAACCAAAAAAAAAAAAGACCGTTGAAAGTAAAAATTAAAGCATTATATTGTTGGGGTTAATTAGATAGACATCATATTTGGACTGTCATACACAACACTCACAACAAAGAGCAAGACAGAGGACAAATGTAATCATACCTAAAAGATTACAATTCCTTGAATAACCACCAATAATAATGCAAAGAGATGTAATCTAAAAGCACACATATAAATGAAGATTAAAATGGAATTCAAAAGCACAGGCCAAGAATGTATGCCAGGTCTTCCATTATTTAAACAAGCAGGCTAGGATGTAGGTCAGTGGTAGAGCACTTGCCAGCAAGTACAAGACCCAGAGTTCAATTCCCAATACCACAAAAATAAAAATAAGAAAAAAGTAGGTATGTGGACAGACTTGAGAGTGATGCGAAAAATAAAAGACAGCTATACCCAGTAAACAAGAATAATGCCATTTTTCCTTTAAAATTAATAGAATTAGTGTGATAAACATTTGTGAGGAGTTGGAGAGATAGTTCAGCAGTTAAGAACACTTCTTACTCTTGTATAGTACTACGGTTCAGGTCCCAGGACCCATATCTGGCTCACAACCATCCATAATTCCAATTCTAGGGGAACTGACCCCCTCTTCTGGCTTCAAGGGCACCAGGTATGTCCAAGATGCACAAACATATGTAGACAAAACACTCACACACACATACACACACACACAAAAAAAAAAAAAACACCTAGAAAAAGTTTTATTCAAAAATTTAAACATTTGTGAATTTAGGTTAAAAAAAATGAAGATATTTTGAATTTTTCTGTTGATTTAATTTTTCCCCCCTTGGTTTTTCAATATATAGGGTTTCTCTGTGTAGCCCTGGCTGTCCTAGAACTTACTCTGTAGACCAGGCTGGCCTCCAACTCAGAGATTCACCTATCTCTGCCTCCTGAGTACTGAGATTAAAAGTATATAACCTACAATACAACAATAATAGCAATGTAACAAGTTGAAACTACATTAGCAAAAACAAGTAACAACTACAACTATTCCAACCAGCGTCCTTATGATGCTGATCAGACAAAAGTCCCTCCACGTCTACCAACATTAACTTTGGAAAACACATTTTAAGTAAAAAAGAACGAACTAAGAGATCCTCCACCCCAACCCTTCATTTAAGACTCAGGGGACACTGTAGAGAAGGGAGTGGATAACCACGACAGCTGCTTAAAATTGTCTGCCATGTACTGCAAGGAAGCCATACCCATGAAATCTCAAAATATGGTTGCCTAAATAAGACCTGAAAAATGACACCACCTTTGACATGCCAACATGGATGGGGAACTCTCACAAGACCCAACTCCGAGATGAAGAGCTTTACGAAATCAATGACTGCTGAGAACAGGAGAATCGAGTCTTTTCTAGAGACAAAGCCTATGACAGATTATCTAATCCTAAATTGTCAGCCCTAAACATACACATCTGAGCAATACTAAATGGACTCAGCAGGGTATGTGTGTGTGTGTCTGTGTAAATGATGTAAATACAGCGCAGGGTTACAAACCCACATCACTACATTTGACATATGTAAGATATTTCTGTTTAGGGTTGGGGATATAGCTCATTTGGCAGTGTCTGCCTAGCATGCATGAGGCCCTGGATTCCCCTTACCCCTAACCCTCTGCAAAACAGATTATATTTTATGAGCTTATTTTATTACCATGTCTTGTGCCAGATGGTGGAGGTGGGTGCTGGCGGCAGCAGTGCATGCCTTTAAATTCCAGCACTTGGGAAGCAGAGGCAGGAGGATCTCTGAGTTCAAGGCCAGCCTGGTCTACAGAGCAAGTTCCAGAACAGCCAAGGCTACACAGAGAAACCTTGTCTCAAAACCAAACCAAAACAAATAAAAAAAAAAAAAATCAACAACAAAAACTTACTTCAAAAGTAACAAAAATCTATTTGGGATATGACAATAGATAATATGACCATTCACATGAGCAAAACTGCAACCTTGATTACATTTAGAGACTTAAAAGCACAGATTAAGAAATATCAGCCAGGGGCTGGAGAGACAGCTCAGTGGCTAAGAGGGCTTACTGCTCATGCAGAAGATCCAGGTTTAGTTCACAACACCCACATGTTGGATCACAACCATCTGTAACTCCAGTTCCAGGGGATCCAACGCCCTCGAGTGTCTTGGTCACCAGGCATGCAAATGACGCATATACATCCATGCAGGCAAAAACATTTATAAAGTAAAAATAAGGGAGAGAGAGGGAGAGGGGAGTGGAGGGGAGGGGAGGGGAGGGGAGGGGAAAGGGGAAAGGAGAAAGGGGAAAGGGGAAAGGGGATAGGGGAAAGGGGAAAGGGGAGAAAGGGGAAAGGGGAAAGGGGAGAAAGAGAAGGGGAAAGGGGAGAAAGGGGAAAGGGGAGAAAGGGGAAAGGGGGGAAAGGAGAAAGGGGGGGAAAGGGGGGAAAGGGGGGAAAGAGGAAAGAGGAAAGAGGAAAGAGGAAAGAGGAAAGAGGAAAGAGGAAAGGAAAGGAAAGAAAAGGAAAGGAAAGGAAAGGAAAGGAAAGGAAAGGAAAGGAAAGGAAAGGAAAGGAAAGGAAAGGAAAGGAAAGGAAAGGAAAGGAAAGGAAAGGAAAGGAAAGGAAAGGAAAGGAAAGGAAAGGAAAGGAAAGGAAAGGGAAGTCAGCCAGATTCAGTGATATATGGCTATAGTCCTAGTCCAATCTCAAAGCATAGTGAGAGCTCCCTGTCCCTGTACAAAAACGGCACAGATATAGCTAAGGAGCAGTGTGCTGTATATGGCCCTGTGTTTGCTTTTTGGCACTACGAAAAGAAGACAACAAAACCCAAAAAGTTCACATTTACGAAGTACTCTCTATGTCCCTGGTATTTTGCTACGTTAATTCACTTATATACAGAGAGAAAAAGTTGAGGTCCATTTCCTCTAAGAATAAGTGATTTTATAATTGAGATCAAGTGAGGTTAGGGCTATTACTGTGACAGAGTATGTACCTAGCATCTGAAAGGCCCTGGTTCTTAAACTCCCAGTACCAGAATTTAGAAAGAAACAAAGAGTAAAGTAAATTCTGAAAGACAAAAAGAGTTCTTACCAGGACAGACATCAAATAAACCCGTTCCATCACCATTGTCATCATCTGCTGCCATGGTCCTATATCCTTTTCATAGGTGCCATCTAGGTATTAAGCATAAAGAGTCCCACCATTAGAATAGCTTCAACTTACAAAGCAACTTTCAAATTTGAACACTGAATAACTTCATTCTCTCTCTAAAAAAGAAACCTATACATTTAAAAAGAAAAATGCCTAACATACTCTGGACAAAAGTCTAAACTAAAAAATGAAACTCAGGGCTGGTAGATGGCTTAGCGGTTAAGAGCAATGGCTGCTCTTCCCAAGGTCCTGAGTTCAATTCCCAGGACATGGGACTGAAGCTTTCTCTGGCATGCATGCAGACAGAGCACTCTACCTAAAAAATAAATAAATAATTAATTAAAATGAAACTCAAATTTGTAGGTATAAATAAGCCATGCACAAAGTAAATTACACTAATTTTGTGTAATAGGCCAAAATACACTAGTATGTACAAGACCCTGAAATTGACCCCTATCATTACAGGGGGGAAAAAAAAATCTCAAAATACAAATGAACTTTTGCACTACAAACAAATACATATACACATAACAAGAAATACAAACACTATCCCCACTGACTCCACAGGGAAAAGCCTGACAACTTAAGATCAACCTCGGGGTTGGGGACTTAGCTCAGTGGTAGAGCACTTGCCTAGCAAACACAAGACCCTGGGTTCGGTCCTCAGCTGGGGGGGGTGGGGGGGGTGGGTGTCAATCCTCAGAACCCATGGTGGAAAGAGAACCAATTTCGGCAAGCTGCCCTCTCACCTCCATGAGCACATTACGGCACGCACATGTCTGCTCTCACACAAACACCATACATACAAATTCAACAATAATAAATAAAACAGTGAAAAATAAAAAAGCATGTAAGTTGGGGTATGGTTCAATGGTGGAGCATTTGCAAGCATGTATGAAGCCCTAGACTCAATTGTTAGTAACACAAAAATAAATAAGAAAGAAATACATACTCAGGGGGCTAGAGAGATGGCTTAGTGGTTAGGAGCACTAACCGCTCTTCCAGAGGACCCAGGTTCAATTCCTAGCACCCACATGGCAGCTCACAACTGTCTGTAATTCCAGCTCCAGGGGACCCAACACCCATAGCAAAAAAAACACCAATGCTCATAAAATAAAATAAAAATAAATAAAAAAAGAAATACACACTCAGCAGGTAACGCACTTGTGCAAGCCTAATGATTCAAGTTCAATCCCAGGAACCCATGTAAAGGCAAGAGAACCAACTCTATCAAGTTGTTCTCTGTCCTGTATGTGCTCATTAACATGCTTGCACTCACATCACAAACATACACACACAAAATATGTATATATATATATATGTGATTTTTTAAAAAAGAAAAAGACACAAACGCACATGTACATATGCACAGGAAAAACTTTAAAATAATCACTAGAAAAACTGGTAAAAGGTACTTTTTAAAAAAACCTTTATTAATTAGAGGGTTGTGCATATGTGCCATGGTGCACGGCGGTCAGAGGACAATGTTCACGAGCCTATCTATTCTATTCTCCCTTTCCATCATGTGGGTCCTACGGGGTGAACTGCAGTCATTAGGCTTGGCAACAAGAAAACCCAGACTTTTTTCTTTTTTAATGGCTTTTAGAGGGCTAGTGAATTGGCTCAGTTAGCAAAGATGCTTGCTGCCAATCCTGATGACTGCATTTAACTCCCCAGGACTCACATGGTGCAAAGAAAAACTCAACTCCACAGTACATGTGTGTGTATACTGTGTTTAGAGCTAGGCATGGTGCCACGAACCTGCAATCTGAGCATTGTGGAGGCTGAGACTGAGGTCTGAAGCCATTCTGGTACACATAGAAAGTCCCAGGTCAGTCTGGGCTACATGGCAAGACTACCTCAAAATAAATATTTTCTTGTTGTTGTTTTGTTTTTCTGAGACAGGGTTTCTCTGTGTGGTCCTGGCTGTCCTGGAACTGACTCTATAGACGAGGCTGGCCTCAGACATCAGCCTGCCTCTGCCTCCTGAGTGCAGGGGTTAAAGGCATGCACCACCACCACTCAGTAATAAATAAGCTTTTAAAATTGTTTTTAAAAGTTGAAGTTCAGTGGTAACAAAGGAAAAGCAAATGAATTAAAGAGGTACTGTGTGTCTAGAGAAGTACTGGCAGCCAGGCTTGAAGGCAGAGGCAGGTGGATCTTTGTCAGTTACAGGCCAGCCAAGGCTACACAGTGGGACCTTGCTTGAGAGGGGAGGGAGAGAGATGGACACTTTAGCTAGAGTCTGGGAGGGTTTCAGGAAGGCTTCTACCATTCAGAACAGATAAAAAGCAGCCCACCAGAACTAAAGTGTTCTCACAATCTGACTTATGCCAAACACCTGTATCAGACAAAGCCTGTATATGACCACAAGACCCCCATCCTAGGCAGTAAGTCTCTAATGTGCTTTCCTTGTAAACATTTGTTGATATCTAATACATATGGTCACAAACTGGATCAAAACCCAGATGATTAGGAACTGCCTCAATGCCTGGGTAGCCACTCTTCAACTTCCAGATGTTGGCAAAAAGGTATGTGAATAATAAAAACACATTGCTCACAGAAATTCACTGTGGGGTTCTCCTGTGCAGATGTATACAAATACATATTCAGGTTAGGTACACTCTAACTTAGAATGGCCTTATGGAACTGTGACTTCACCTAAGTTAAGGAGCAATTGCTACCCTACATCCAGAATTTACCCTATTTCACTTCCATCATCATACTTCAGATACACACTCTTTTAATTCTTACAGCACTCACTCTAAATTAAGTCAATTAAGTCTTAACATACCATCTTGTAATCTGTCCCAGACTCTTTTCTTCTATTCTTATCTTTTAGAATGTACCTATGGCTGCCCAGGAGCTATGGACTGCAATCATCTTCACTTTTTTTTTTAAATTTTTTTATTCATTTCACATATCAACCATAGATCCCCCTCCCATCCCTCCTCTCACTCCCTCCCCTCCCCAAACCCCCATTCCCTCCTCCAAAAGGGTAAGGTCTCCCATGGGGAGTCAACAAAGTCTGGTACATTCAGTTGAGCCAGGTCCAAGCCCCTCCGCCTGCATCAAGGCTGTGCAAGGCATCCCACCAAAGGTAATGGGCTCCAAAAAGCCAGCTCAGGCACCAGGATCCTGATCCCACTGCCAGAGGCCCCTCAAACAGGTCAAGCTACACAACTGTCTCCCTATGCAAAGGGCCTAGTCCAATCCCATGCAGGTTCCACAGTTGTTAGTCTAAAGTTCGTGAGTTCCTACGAGTTTAGTTCAGTTGTTTCTGTAGATTTCTCCATCATGATCTTGACCCCCCTTTGCTCATATAATCCCTCTTCCTTCTCTTCGGCTGGACTCCTGGAGCTCGGCCTGGTGCTTGGTTGTGGATCTCTGCATCTGCTTCCATCAGTCACTGGATGAAGGCTCTATGATGACAGTTATGGTATTCACCAATCTGATTACCAGGGTAGGCCAGTTCAGGCACCCTCACCACTATTGCTAGTAGTCTAATCTGGGGTTGTCCTTGTGAATTCCTGGGAATTTCCCTAGCACCCCTTACCCCATACTGTCTCCCTCTATCAAGATATCTCTTTCATTGCTCTCCCACTCTGTCCCTTCCCCAGCTCGACCATCTTGTTCCCTCATGTTCTTATTCCCCATCCCCTCCTCTCTATTGCCCCCCCACCCCCAGTTTACTCATGGGGATTTCCTCTGTTTCCCCTTCCCAAGGTGATTCATGGGTCCCTCTTAGGGTCCTCCTTGTTTCCTAGCTTCTCTGGAGCTGTGGGTTGTAGTCTGATTATCCTTTGCTTTATATAAAGTATCCACTTATAAGTGAGTACACACTATGTTTGTCTTTCTGAGTCTTGAGTTACTTCACTCAGGATATTTTCTAGTTCCATCCATTTGCCTATAAATTTTATGATGTCATTGTTTTTTTACAGCTAAGTAATACTCCATTGCTTCACTCTTTTCTTTACTTAGGGTTTCATTCCAGCATTTTCATACATGTGTATCATACTTTGCTGATACTTACACTACCCCCAACTCATTCTGTAGCCCAAGGAAGCCTTAAACTTGTGATCTCCTACCTCAGCCTCTTTAGTAACTGGTATTAGAAGTCTAAGAATCTAGCCAAGCTATATATATTTTTTTAATCCATTCACCTACTGACGGGTATCTAAGCTGGTTTCCTATCTTGGCTACTGTGAACAGTACTACAGCAAACATACTTTGACTCCTTTGGGTCTGGGTAGTTTGAATGTAATTGAGCCCTATACTCTCATAGCAAGTGGTACTATTAGGACATATGGCTTTGTTGGAGTGGGCACGGCCTTGTTAGAGGAAGTGTGTCACTGTGGGGCAGGCTTTGAGATTTCCTATGCTCAGGATACCGCCTAGTGTCTCAGTCGATTTCCTGTTGCCTGCAATATGTAACTCTCAGCTGCCATTCCAGTACCACATCTGCCTGCACACCACCATGCTCCCCACCATGATGATAACGGACTGAACCTCTGAACTGTAAGTAACCCACCCCAATTAAATGTTTTCTCTATAAGAGTTGCCATGGTCATGGTGCTCTTCACAGCAATAAAAACTCTAAGACAAGGTCTATACCCAGTCATGATATAGCTGAATCATATGGTAGTTTTTAGTTTGAGGGGGACTCTCCATATTGATTTCCACTGTAGCTACACTAGTTACATTTCTACCAACAATGTGTAAGGGTTCCTGCTTCTGTTCTTCCTTGACAACCAATCTTTTCTTTTTTTCAAATTTCATTTTGTATGTGACACATGGGTGTACATTTCGTGTATACAGACATGGGTATGTGCAACAGTACACCTGTGGCAGTCAGAAGACAACATCCATATGTCTATCATTACCTTTCTACCTAAGATAGTTCCTTGCTGCTGCTAAGCCAAGCTCACTACCCACAAACTTGAGGTACTGTTTTGACCTCCCATAGTGGGTACTGGAAATATAGAAGCTTGTACCATTGCATCTAGGGTGGGTTTTTTTTTGG